CAGGGCTGGGAGGGGCCTGAGGACAGGGGATGTCAGAGCTGGGTGGGACAACCTAGAACCTCAGGGTTGGGCAGGGCTTTACAATCAGAATCTCAGAGTCCTGGAGCTTCAGTTGGGGGGGATGTGGGCAGGCACGGAGCCCAGGTCATATCTGACCAAACAGCCCCCAGAGTGGACGCCCAGCACCCAGCGTCGCTCTGGGAAGGGCCCTCCCTTTGGGAAGGTTTTCCAGACATCTGTTGTGTGCCGCCCCCTCGCTCCTGGTTGGGCTCTCCTGGGCCATGCTGAACGCACTTCGTCCCCTTCTAGGCTGCGGCTCTTCTCATACTTTGAGTCTACATCCTGACCAAACAGTCTCAGTTCTTTCAGTTGGTTTGCATCAGGCACGGGTTCCAGGTGCTTCCCCACCCCAGCCTCCCTCTCCTAGAAGCTCCTCCTCGATGTCCTTCCTTCAGGCGGGGTGTGACCGGGGCTGAGGACAAGAGGGACTCCCGCCCCTCCTTCCTGGGGCAGCCCGAGAGCACGTGAGCTCTCGGCCACATCATGCTGTAGACGCCTGCTGGGCTTGCGGTCCATCAAGCATCAAGACTCCCTCCCTTTGATCTTTTTCAGATGAATTGCTGTCTAGTCATACCTTGGCCACCTTATACTTAGGACAAAACACTTTGAACCCACATATTCCTATTCAATTTCATTTTATTCTACTTGGCCAACATTCTACCCCAATCTTTGGTGTGTTAGCTGTGCCTCAGCTCTGTGTCACTGGCAGATTTGATGAGCCTTGACCTGAGTGACTGGTACAATGTTAGAGGCGGGGTTGGCGACAGATCCCTGGGGCACGCCACTGTAGACCTTCCAGTTGTCATTGAACCAGTGACGACCTTTGTTCTGATTCCACCCAAGGCTTCAGCTTCAGCTCTTTATCTCCTCCACAAGAACATCACGAGTGTCCCCCCCTGCCCCCGCTCTCCAGTGCTCTGCCTCAAGTCCAGATAAACAGTTTGGTAGCCCCCGCAACCAAGGAAACAGTGCCAGCCTGGCTCCCGGCGCTCACTGCTTCCTTCCCTGGTCACAAGCATCCCTTTAATGTGCTGTTCTAGAATTTTGCCAGGAGTCGAAGTCAAGTGCCCTGCCTGGTCTGAAGACTGTTCTCTTCTCTCCTTTGAAAATTGGGACATTTGCCTTGTGCCAACCCTGTAGTATGGCGACCTCCCCTCCGCCATCCTTGGATGCCCTCACCTAAGCGTCACCCCTCCCTGCTTCCATCCACTCCGCTCTCCGCCCCACCCCGACTTTATGCATTTCGCTGATTCTGAATGAAGGCTCCCCCTCCCCTGGCCACGAGCCACATTCCAGGCCCTGGTCTCCTTCCCGCACTGGGAGGTCTGCCTTGCCTGCTGGCATCAGGTGAGCTGGAGCAGACGCTGCTGGCTCCCCCCAGGTTCTAAGCTCGGGTGCAGACACGAGAGGCCTGGGATGGTTCTCATTCCTGGCCACTTCCTGTGCGTCTCCAGTGAATCACCGAGGGTCTCTAGGGTCAGTTTTCCTCTTGCATCTATTGATTGTCTAACCCATGGGTGTGTCTGGAGGTGATTCTCCTCCCTGTGCCACGATCATGTTAAAGATGAGATCTGTACAAGTCCAGGCAAATAGGATTTTCGCCAAGCCCTCCTAACGTTCCCTCCATCCCTGACAAAGAACCTCTCCCTTCTGTAGGGTCCAGAACCCCCAAGCCCCTCCTCAGACGCCACCTTCTGTCCAGATGCCTTTGCATCTGAGGGCCAGAGAAGAGGGAGATGCCACCCATGCCCAAGACTTCCTCATCCTTAGCAATCCCTTCAGAATTCCTCTCGGTGACATCATCTGTTCCCGGGACTCACCTGTGAGTGGGTGTGAACCTCGGGGCCTCTGCCGGGGTAGGCCCAGACCTCTCTGTTGTGGTCCCTGGCAGGTGGAACGGGTGATGCTCTGTGAGTCATTACCCCTCTCTCTGGGGGCTGGACTTCAGTGACCTCTGAGGCTGACCTCCTGCTGAAAGTTCGGATTCTGTGATCTTTTCCATCATACACAGCTCTAACATGACCCACTCCTTTTCTCAGGACCTTTCTCCTGAGATCATCCATTGTGGAAATGGGGGAGGTGGGGCTGGGATGGTATCATCTAACCGCAGACTTTCTCTCGCCTGAATTACTCCCGTCCACCAACATTTCTGTGAGATGACGTATATGTAAAGCACTTTTCCACCATAAGGAGCTGTGTAAGTGCCAGCTATGATGACGACTGCAGCTCGGGCACAGGAAGGGGCATTGGGAGGCCTGGGCGGATCACTGACTCAGGCCCTGCCCTCAGACAGTTCCCAGGGCAGGGGCAGCCACGTGAGGAGGGGAGGCCCCTGACAGCTGCCCTCCCTTTGCCCGAACCCACACGCCCTCGTGCCCAGGGGATCTCGCCATTGACCTGGTCTTCTTCTCTGTTTGGTCCCAGACAAAACTACAAGAATTATTCCATGGAGTCCAGGACACACTTCCGGATCCAAGCAGCTGTGCTTCAGGCCAGGGCAGCCCCTGAGAATGGGGGCAGCCCCGAAGTGTCTGGGGGGCTCTAGCTGTGGGGCTTGGGGCTGACCCTGGGATGACCAGAAGGCAGGAAGACGGAACATTTCAGGACAATCAGCTCCTACCCCCTGCCCTCCTGAACCAAGCCCATGGGAAGATGGCCAGGGTGGGGTGGCGTGGATGGTGAAGCACAGCTGGAATTGAGTTAGGCCAGGTAGCTCCCCCTTCTCCTCCTGGTCCAGAGCCTGTGGTCACCCCCAACGGGTCATCACTCTCCACTGTAATGTTTAACAGAATATTTAAAGTTTACATTTTCCTTAGAAATTCAGTGACCGTCTCATGGGGGTCACTCAGCGGCTTAGCCCACATGCCTCTGCCTTGAATCCAAATTAATCGGAAGTGTTGCTCCCTCATCATACGAGGCTGGAGAGGGAGACACTTCTCAGGTTTCCAGTCTCCATTTTCTGTAGCTGGACATGGGTGCCTGTGGCTGGGCGATGGATGTCCCCCCATGTCCACAAAGGGCCTACCTCTTCATGAGACCATCTGTGGTCTTTCACCTTGACAAGCCTCTGGGGAGCAGGATGGCCCAGGGGGCTCAGAGTAGATGCTAGAAACCTCAAGGGGCCTTGGGGCCCTCTCTTGCCTTCAAAACTTCATACTTGACCCCAAGCCCCTGGTGCCTCTGCGACCTCAGAAGCAGAGCAGAAGGCACCAGGCGCTCCGGGAACCTGTCCCTGGGCCCGACGAGGACCAGCGTACCGTCCCGCCCCATCCCATCCCTGGCACCGTGTTTAAAACCAAAGGAATCTGTGAAAGCAGACGCCTTCTTGACTTTGTTCTAAGACACCCAGTTTATTTAATGATGACAGTCTGTTTCCTTGAAAGTCATGGCTGTCCATGGCCTGTTCAGTACATTTGTGATTTTTCATGGTTGAGAGAGAAGATATATTTCAGTAATAAAAACTGACCCATTTAAGAAATAATACAATGGTAATTTCAATAAAAGATGTGTCTTGTCTTCTTTCTCATTCCTTGGCCGGAGAGTGGGGGTGGGGGAGCAGTCTGTCTGCCATCAGCCTCATGGGTGACATTTGGGCTAGGGGAGTGAAGCTGCTTCCATTTTCTGAAAGTCTCTTTGGGGAGAAAAATTGGTCAGATAGTTCTTGGAGAACTTGTTTGCTCCCTGCTCCCATCCCATGGCAGTTGACAAGCATTTATTAAGTACTTACTGTATGCCCAGCACTGCCAGGGATACAGAGACAAAAGGGAAGCAGGCCTTGCCCAAAGGAGCTTGCATTTTATTTTATTTTTTTTAGGCAATTGAGGTTAAGTGACTTGCCCAGGGTCACACAGCTAGTAAGTGTCAAGTGTTTGGCTGGATTTGAACTCAGGTCCTCCTGACTTCAGGGCCAGTGCTGTATCCACTGCACCACCCAGCTGCTCTCGGAGCTTGCATTTTAAAGGTAGAAGGCCATGTGCACAGATCATTCACCGTGAGGGAAGGATAGCCCAGTGGGCATTCCTGCCCACCTCCTTCAAGACAAAGGAAGCCCCCTGGCTCCTTCATGTCAGTGAAAATGGGAAGCCATCAGATCCTCCCCCTTTGGGAGCTGTCCGGGAGTTGTGTTCCGCAGGCAGCATTGCGTCCTGATGTCATGTCTCCTTCCTAATCCGGCTGATAGGAGGGCTTTCTGTAGGGGGCTTGCCCTGGGGTGGCATTCCTATTGTGGCTTCCTCACAAAAAACCCTGTGACATAAATAACGGGCAGAACCAGGAGGGATCCGTGTGAGGGGAGAAAAGAGGTGGTCTGAGAGGGAGGCGGTGGGGGCAGAGGTTAGGAGACCTGGAGAAAGTATTGTCTGACACATTCCCACCTAGACACAGACAAATCTCTCCAGCCCTGACCTCTCCCTAACTGCCTGTAGCTAGAGGTGCCACCAGCCCCTCAATCTCAACATGTCCCAGAATAAAGCTTCCCCTCCTCCAGCTTCACTCCTCCTTTGGAAGTCACCCTTTCTGTCTCTGCCTCCACCATTCCCCCTTGGGCTGCCATGTTTGTGACCCTGGACTTAGGCTGGACCCTTCCCTTTGCATCCCTGTGGATACTATGTCTGTGACATAGAGTCTCCAAGTCATGTATCTAGAAAGGAACTCAGAGGGCATCAATCCCAATCTCTTTATTTCATCTGGGGGTGCTGAATCACCTAAGGCCATACATGTAAGTCTATGAGAGAGGCAGGATTTGAACTCAGGTCTCCTCTGACTTCAAAGCCAAACAACGTCAAATAAGTCCTTTTGCCTCCACTCACGCTCTTTTTTTAGGCAGCTGGGGTTAAGTGACTATCCCAGGGTCACACAGCTAGTACCTGTCAAGTGTTTGGTCTGAGGCCGGTTTTGAACTCGGGTGCTCCTGACTTCAGAGCTGGTGCTCTATCCACTGCGCCACCTAGCTGCCCCCCACTCTCCTATTACCAACATGTTCATCATATCACTGCCAGAATTATCCTTCTTATGCTGAAATTGGAGCCTGTTCTGTTTTGAACAAGACAAAATTACCTTCATTTGCTCCCAATTACCCACTGAGTAGAATTTCAGTCACTACGTGTGGCATTCAGTGCCTTCCACAATTGCAGGTCTGTTCTCATCTCTGTGACGCTGCTCAGGCTGCTGGATGGGATTTCATTCTTGGAATACCTTCTGTCTCTTTCCGCTGACATGCTGTGTGATGCTGGGCAAATTACTTAACCTCTCTGGGCTCCAATTTCCTGGTCTGTAAAATGAGGGCAATGGACAGTATCTGAGGTCTCTTCTAGTTTTAACCTGGGATCTGTTGCCTGTTAAATTCCTGCTCGTTCTTTAAAACCCAAACACTGCCTCCTCCAGGAAGGCCTCTGGCACAGCATGGTCCTAGTCTGTCCTGATCTTCCCCTCAGACTCACGTACAATGCTGTGCACAGTAGGAAGGATGCTTGTGTCTCGTCACCTATTGCTCTGGGAGCTCCAGGTGGGCAGGACCGTCTCTCCCTGCCCCGAGCACAGGGCTCTGTCCAGAGCAGGCACCAAGGAGACATCTGCTGCTCAAAATGAAATGTCCCTCACCCCAGTGTGGCCTGGAAGTGCTTCTCATTGGGGCCAAGGTTGACCTGAGGACATCGAGCCCAACCCTTTCACTTTAACAGAGAAGGAAACTGAGGCCCAGGAGGGGACTCGCCCAGGTTTGCTCAGGTGTAGTGTCAGAGATAGAACTCAGAGACAGTGTCTCTGCAGCCACAGACTCAGCTGGCCTGGGCTGGCGCCCTTTGGGGAGAGCCCTGATTCAGGAGCCCAACCAGCAGATGCCTGGGCCCCACCCAGGGGCCACTGACCTGTCCAGGTGAGGCCAGGGAGCTGCTGTGTGCACGTGGCATCATCCAGGATGTGGCAGAGGGAGGGTGGTTAGACCAGATCAACGAGTCTGAGGTCATTCTAATTCCAGGATTCTGTGAGAAGGAAGAAGGGAGGAAGAAATGTCTCCTAGGGTAGCTGGGTGGTGCAGTGGTTAGAGAATGTGCATTGGACGCAGGGAGGATTGAGTTCAAATCAGACACTGCTAGCCCTGTGACCCTGGGCAAGTCCCTTAACCTCTCTGTCTCAGTTTCCTCATCTGTAAAGTGGTGATACCAGCACATACCTCCCGGGATGGTTGTGAAGATTAAATGAGTTAACATCTGTAAAGTGTTTTGCCAACCTTAAATTTATAATGATCATAATTAGCTAGCGTAATAACCATCTGTGATGATGATAAGCTACATGACATGTAGCTTAGTGTTATTACTAATTATTCTATGTCCAACCTCCAACTGTTTGTCTCCGGGTGAAGGACGGTGACCTAGTTTCAGGAAACAAACAGAAGACCCGGAGTCAGGGAGGTCTCGGGGTTTGAGTCTGAACTTTGCTAACCACAAGTTGAATGCCCCAGGATAAGTCAATTCCCCCTCTTGGGGTCTCAGTTTTCTCCTCTAGAAAGTAGAAACTAGACCGGATGGTCTCTAAGGTGATTGGAATTGAACTAGATAAGATGGTGTCTGAGGCCAAATTTGAACTCGGGTCTTCTTGAGTCCAGACCCAGCACTCTAGGAACTGTGGAGCCATGGAGCTTCCTGTTCTGACATTATTTTCCAACACAACTCCCTCAACACCCTCCTCTCAGCTCTGCCATCCCCTGTTCTAAGGCCCCTCCCAGCCCTGCTATCCCCTGTTCTAAGGCACCCCCACTCCCCACCCCAGCTCTAACATTCCATGATTTTGCAGGGGTGGAGTCAGGCTGCTCTCTCTGGCCTTTCACTCTCTCCATTTTACCGCCCACTTTTCTGTGGCACCCCTCGGTGCTTGGCCCGATGGCTGCAGCCCTGGCCGTCCCCGATAAGGGGCATGTGCCAGGGTTGTCTCCTGGGTCACAGCTGGCGGCTGCAGATAGCTTATCAGAAGCGGGCCGGCATCTGGCCTCAGAGAGGATGGAGAATTAGCTGGATGGGACTGGATATGCAGAGCCTGACGTGGTTAATCATTTTTTGCTCAACTCTTTTTTTGTTCTATGGGAAGATTTTACTCTGCAGTTAAGGGTGGGGATTATACCCAGAAAAAATCTGTAGTTGAAAGCTATCAATTAAACTTATTTGAAGACAGCCTCCTGTGCATGTTTAAGGTCATGCGAGATCCCTGGACAAATGCAGCCCAGAGAGAATTCAGCTTCAAGGCATAAATCAGGGACATAAGGTCCAACGACCAAAGCTGTCCGTGATCGTCAGGGCTCACAGGCTTGGAGCTCAGAAGGACCTAAGAGGCCCTCCAGTGATGGACGAGGAGGGTGGCACCCAGAGAGGGTGACTTGGGAAGGTCGCCCATTCACTCTGCCATGATGTGCGCGTAGAGGCCTAAAG